TTGTTGAATTTGTATGCATATAAATCTCTTATTATCCTCTGAATATCTACAGTGTCTTTTGCAAATTTTCTTTCATTTTGGCTCCTTTTTATTGGATTTTTTTTAAAGATTTATTTATTTATTTATGTAGACAAGCACTGGATACAGTCAGAAGTGCAGGAGGGTGAGAGAATTCACCACAGCCAGAGCGGGGAACAGAACAAGAAGACCGACGAAATACACCGCTGAGGGGAGCAGCGGGCATGGCAGGAGAGGTCTGCGCACCATGTGGGACCCTAGCCAGTGGCCGGGGATCAAACCGGCACTGCAGAGGCTGTGGGCAGCTTCTCAGCCCAGGGCTCAACTGCTGCGCCACCAGGGGAGGCCCTATTTATTTGATTTTTCTCCCTCTTTTTATCAGTGAGTCTAGCTAAAGGTTTGTCTACTATTCATTTTTCAAAGAAAGAGCTTTGGGTTTTCTTGCTCTTCTGGACTGCCCTTTTATTTCTTTTTAATTTTTTTTATTTATATATTTTTACACCATTGTTCATTCTCTTCTCAGGTGTAATCCCCACAAAATTACCACCACCAAGACATCTATGAACCGTCACTGTAATCTTGTCCTCTTCCCTCTCTCTCTCCCTCCCCAGCTGAATATCTGGATTCATAACTGGCCTCCTAGTTTTTTCTCCCCACTGCCGTCTTTGTATCTTTTTAAAATTTTTAAATTTATTTTTGCATAGAAGAACTGGGGTGTAGGCCAGAGGTGCTGGAGTGAGTGTGTACCAGACACTTAGCAGAACAGGTGGATCTACTGAAATACACTGCTGAGGGGAGTAGCTGATAAGGCAGGAGAGATCTGCTGCACTAGGTGGGTAGTTCCCTGGCCGGAAATCAGGCTATAGGGGTGATAATGCTAAGGCTTAATCCCTAGGCCACCAGGGAGGCCCTGTCTTTTTTATTGTTATTTTATTTTTATGTGCTCTAACTTTTATTTCCTTTCTTCTACTTACCTTGTACTGTGTTATTTCAATAAATATTTCTCTGGGGATAAATGGAGACTTCTGTGCCAGTTTATATTTACCAGGTTAATTAAAACACCAGGATTCCCACTGTAACAGAGCCAGGGGTTGGCTCCACGATGGGCACTTTTGGACAGTTATGACTTTGGTGTAATAAATTATTTTTGTCTAATATTTCTACAATCTAGTTGTTAAAATACATGTTAATTAAATTTCTTTGGGCATGTTATATTTTAATGGTATGTCTCAGGCCCACCTAGACTAATCCATGACAGCCATATAAAGATAATTTCTGGGGCCTCGCCTGGTGGTTCAGCAGTTGAGCGCTGGGCTGCAAAGCTACTCACAGCCTCTGCAGTGCTGGTTTGATTCCCGGCCGCTGGCAAAGGTCCCACATGGTGCGACAGACCTCTCCTGCCATGCCCTCTGCTCCCCTCAGCAGTGTACTTCGTCAGTCTGCCTGTTCTGTTCCCCGCTCTGGCTCTGGTGAATTCTCTCACCCTCCCACACTTAGGACTGTATCCAGGCTTGTATAAATAAATAAATAAATCTTTTAAAAAAGAGATAATTTCTATACACATTTACCTTTGAGTCACACAGTATTTTGAGGGGACAGATGCTGAAAACTTAGGACATCATAGATATGCATTTCCAATATGGTACCTAGTAGTCATATATGGGGATTTTTTGGTTCAAATAAAATAAAATAAAAAATTTAGGGCCTCCCTGGTGTCGCAGCGGGTTGAGCACAGTGCTGCGAAGCTGTCTGGAGCCTCTACAGCGTGGGTTCGATTCCCGGCCATCCAGGGAGCTACCCACGTGGCGCAGCAGACCTCTGTGTCTCACCCGCTGCTCCCCTCAGTAGTGTCTTCAGTACCTCTGCCTGTTCTGCTCCCTGATCTGTCTCTGGTGAATCCGCTCACACTCCCACACCTCTGGCCTGTACCTCAGTTCTTGTATAAATAAAAATAAATCTTTTAAAAAAATTTAAAAATTCAACATCTCAGCTAAAAAGCCCACATTTCAAGTGCTCAATAACCAATGTGCTAGAGGCATCACATTGTGCAGTGCACACATAGAATTATCCTTTGTCTCAGAGTATCTTGTGTGACAGTGCAGCTCTTCATGCTCTATGGCCATCAACTCAAATGCATTAGACACATGAAAAATAAAATGGCCTGTAATATTCCTCTTAAGGAATATGTCAGATCTCTCTCTGAGCTGAGATGCCATATTAAGCTGGTATAAAACAAAACCAAAACAGGCATAAACTTCCCAGTCCCAAAGGGAAGCACCCGTCCCTCCATCTCCTGTCTCAGGCAGTGGACACTCTCTGGCATCCCATTTCTGAGGGGTGAGTTGCAGAAGAGTTCAGGGCAAAGATCTAAAACAAGCTTTGGAAGTCAGGGAATCCAACCCAAGGAGAGGGATTCTAGGAAATGAAGAGGAGGCAAAGACATAGAAGAACACTTGGAAAACTCTCCTAGTTGACCAGAAAAGAATTTCTCAAAGTGTGGTCTGTGGAACTCTTGAAGTCCCCAGGAACTTTTCATGGGATCCATGGGTCAAAACTATTTTCAAAATTTTATTTAGACATCATTTCTTTCTTCGTTATTTTGCCATTTGCACTTGTTAGAGGACCACAACCCAAAAGAGTGGGTTCTTTGCACTCTAGGTAAAGAATTCACCAGAGAGTGCTAGTGGTAGTTGAACCAGGCGAGGATTTATTAGACTCATGCATGAGGGAGCCAGTTTGGGAAAGCAGAATATGATCCAGTTCTCCTAAGGGATTTAGGAGGAGCTATTTAAAGGGTAAGTTCAGGTCCCTTCTGCAGCAGGAGTTCAATCCCGGCCAGCAGGAATTTGATCCGGGCCCGCGGGTGAGATTCCCACATGACGTGGCAGACCTCCTCTGTCGTGCATGCTGCTCCCCTCAGCAGTGTATTTCATCAGTCTGCCTGTTCTGTTCCCACCTCTGTCTCTGGTGAATCCTGTCACTGTCCCGCGCATCTGGCCTGTACCCTGGTTCCTGTATGCATGAATAAATAAATCTTAAAAAAAAAATGAAGGGTAAGTTCCTGAAGTGGAGAGGAGGGAGCAGCTTCTGGGTTGGGCTCTGCCTAAGCCTGCGCATGTGGTGACAGTCTAGTTGCGTGGGCGCTCAGTTTCCTCCCTCCAGGAAATGAAGAGATAATCATTAGTGTCTCCTCAGAACGGGTGTTGCAGGATGAAAAAAATTACTGAGAGCCCATGTGCAGAGCAATGAGAAGCCTAGAGGGACCACACCACAAATGTGCCAGATCTAATTTTTATCTCCCAAGGTGCTTCACGTCAGTGTAGTGGGCCCAATTGCTTGGCCAGGGCTGGCCAGTCCATGATTTAGTCCACCTCTTCAAATGGGACTGGGACAACTCATCCTACTGCCCCCAATTTCTTTTATCTTGGCCATCTCACACTGAGGTAAGGCTAGTAAGAATGGAGATTATTGTAATAACTGAGTAGTAGTGAAACAGATCCCCACGGCACAAGCCACAGGACAAAACAGGCTTCCCCCCAAAGCCTAAGCGGCAGGTGTGCTGCTGTGTTAGGGCCTGTGGTCCCAGCATATACACCTGGTACACAGCAAGGTGAGGGGCAGCCCAGAACCCCCAAACCTGCCCACTCTAAATAGGTTCTGCCATCCACTGCATCAAGACAAAACATACTCTAGTGTATAAGATCTGTAACAGAAAGGAACTTTAATACAATTAGTGAGCAATAAAGTGAAGAGAGGGGAAAAATAGATCATATAGTTTCCAAATCAAGCACCCAAAGTTACCCACCCCCTCATGGGTAAATGCCCAGTCAAACAAGGTTGGGCCAAAGCAAGACCACTGAGGCCTGAAACCTGCCACAAGTTTAAGGCACCTTCTGGTGTGTCCCGTAGGAAAAGGACAGAAGAAGCCCACCATGTCTGGGACAGAAGCTGCAAAATCAAAATCAAGATAAAAACTGCCATTGTTAACTGCCGCAGACCAGCTTTCGGCAAAATGTCGTGTCAGGAGTCCCTGAAAGGAGGAGTCGGCCTAGGTGAAGCAAAGGGGCTGAGGGGAAGGGGATGAGGTAGTGAGGAGACACTGACACTGGATGAGGTGCAAGTACCTTCTGCCGAGAGACTCAGCAGGTCTTTATTTATTCATTTTTAGCAAGCAGAGAAATTACATCATCATGTGCAAAGCAGAAACAATTAGTGTATTTTATTCCCATAGACTACTGGCTCCTACAGGTCTCAGCTAGACGGTAGCCTTCAAGGTTAATAAATAAAAAACTTGGGCCTCCCCGGTGGCGCGGCGGTTGAGCACTGGGTTGCGAAGCTGCCCGCAGCCTCTGCAGCGCCGGTTTGATCCCCGGCTGCTCCCCGGCCACCGGAGGAGGGTCCCACATGGCGTGTGGACCTCTCCTGCCGCCCGCTGCTCCCCTCAGCAGTGTACTTCGGTCCTTCTGCCTGCTCTGCTTCCCACTCTGGCTCTGGTGAATTCTCTCACCCTCCCGCGCTTCTGACTATACCCAGTGCATGTATAAACAGAACAAACAAACAAAAAAATAAATAAATAAATAACATGCCTCTATTAAAAAAAAAAAAAAAAAACTTTAAAAAAAAAAAATAAGCCTTACACTAAAACTTATTATTTCTGTCTAGACAAATACCTAAGACAGTGGATAGCCGCCAGGAGACCCCTATCAGCTAAAGTCTAAGCATTAAAAGACTCTTCTATTCACATGGCCTTCAGCTGGAGACCAGCTGCTACTCAGCTATCAGAACTTTTTCTACCTAGAAACTCCTTATCACAATTAACTTCATCTAAAAAACTTTCCTAAGAAACTTCTAAAAAGCAAAAGAAGGACTTACTATAA